AGCCCTGAAAGTCGAGATTCTCCTGTATCAGTTTCAAGCCAAAAACGTTTCTGCAGCATTGAAAAATAAGGATTTCGAGATCTCAATGTAGAGATCTTCGAAATATAAAAATTGCAGAAAACGAAAAAAGAGGTATGCTGCTGGATCGGTTTTGAAAGGCGAGTCCAACAGTATGATTTTTACATAATTTCGTTCACAAACGAGATTACAGGAGCAAATCTCTACATATTAGAAAAAAAGAAGAAAAACAGAGTAGTTCTTCGTTAGATCCAAAAATCGCAGACAGATCCAACCTGTTTCACGCCTCGGCTCTGATACCAAATGTTAGTCCCATAATACTAACAATCATACAACCATAACAATGATAAAGATGTAGATAGAAAGATATGTCGAAGATTAAACGCGAATCTGGTATACCATATGAAAACCGGCCGCTGCTCTCCCTGGAGAAGGAGAGCAGCGGCAACCCTACTCTCTCTATCTTTACGCCTCTGCGTCTCTAAGCCTCTAACTATCAGTTAGGGTTCCCGTAAGTTAGCCTCCTTTTATAGGAGAAGTTGGCTAACTTACGGGTTACAAGGAAGCCCACGGGCTGATACACATTTGTGGCCCGTATTACACGTTTAATTAATAACTACACAAATACAAAGATAACTAACTAGATTGGACACCATAAAATATTCCCAACAATGGAGTATAATTTTCAAACGAATAGTAATATTATAGGCGAATTCTCTCATTGCCTCTTCCTTAGCGAACTCTTTTTCAAATTTGGTCCAAACTCTTCTACATCAAGATGCTGGTGGGCTTCCTAATATCCGTTCCTAGCTACTTCGTCTTTGTCTTTTCAGAACCCCCATCAGATTCAAGGAAAGAACTATCTCGGTGGAAATGGGTGCCACTACAGTAGCGAGCTACTTTTGTACTTGATACAACACTGTAACCCGTCTATTTCTCTTTTTATGCTTGATGCTGTCCTTGCATTTTAAATTTTATCCAACGGGATGAATGGAGTATAATTTTCAAACGAATAGTAATATTTTAGGCCTTGGATTGATACTTTCTAATCATTCAGATGCTAAGTTGACAATGAAACTATATTTCAGAATTCAGATCATGCATTGATTAAATTTCTTTTTTGGAATTTTTTAAACTCCAAGACATTATCTCCAAAAATGAAAATTTAAAGGGAAAATTGGAGTTTCCCCCCTTCATTATGACTAAATTGAAGCTCCTTAAAAAAGTGACAATTTCTACACATTGATAAAAATCTTTATATATGGCAGTTCAAGAGTTTCTCAGCACTTTCTACGCAATAATGTGTAACCGCCTCACACGTTCACCATATCTTTTGAATTAACCGCCTCCTACAACATTAAATACCACCGTCAGCACAAAACTTAGTCAGGCAAATTGAGAAGTTTAGTATTGATTTTGCATGACTGAAGTTGAATGAAGTTGTTGTCCAACAAAGTTCAAGAGCTCAATTATATGAAGTACAACGACAAGATGAGGGTTGAGAGTTAAGCTTATCCATTCTTATGATTCCATATCATACAATAACAAGAATGTGACAACAAATTCATCAGAATGCTTTTTTCATGATGCAAGTACAATTTCTAACTTTTTAATTTAACTCTTCCTTATTTTTGAAGGTATAAAAATGTATTTTTTTATAGATCCGACAGAATTATTGACTCTTAGAAAAACATGGACGAATTTATGGATACTATACTAAACTTTTCCTTTTGTAAGGGAAACAGAGATTCAATATGTTCGTAATATCATTAAATTTGTGCCCATTTAAGTTTTGTTGTTTGATATTGCCACTTCAATTAGTTTAGAAAAACAACATGTGTTGTACTCGAGATGATTGCAAATTTGCAATAACAATTGTGGTTGATATTTAAATACGTCATAAATTCAGAAGATATCCTCATTTCAAATATAACTGTTTTAGATTCATTTTTTTCATTTGTAATAATATTGTTTAGGAGTCTATATGAATATTGAAAACATATATGCCCACTGTTTGTTAGCTATTTGTAATGTTATTCATGCATACAGAATATTAAATACTAGGTTGAAAGATTACATAACACGTATGTGAAATTCTAATATTATTTAACTTCCATATGAAAATTGAATTTAATTAAAGAAATGGATGTCAAAACTAACATTGAATTTAAATTGCTGATATAAAGTTCATGAAATCAGTTGAGTTGTCTTCCAAATTATAATTCAATAACTTTATGTGTCAAAATCCATACTCAATTGAACTTACTCCATAGAGGCAAAAGACATTCTGAAATGTTTGCTTACCTATATATTTCCATTTTTTTCCTTTTTTACTCAAACCTCCTCTCTTCAACCCACCTTCAGTAACTTTGTAACACCTGAACACAAAACATAGAATACATCAACTAACATTCTCATGATTTAGATGCCATATAAAATAAACATCTCTCAAGAGATATAACCCCTCTCTCATCCTGTGTGCAGGAAACAATGAATCATGTCATCTCATAACTATTATTTGGAAGCCATATAAAAGACTGCATCAAGAGTCAGAGACCATGACTAAGCCACTCCTGAAGAATTTTTTGCATTGATGCATTTAACTGCCCTAAATTATCGGATGACAAGTAACAAAAATGCAGATTTGCATTAAGGCTGCTCCTAATTTCTTTTACTTAGTTAAACAAATGTACATACGAAATACTCCGTACAAGCAAGCCAGCAAGTTGTGTTAAACCCAATCAATGCCCTCCTCCAATCGCCATTTCCGTAGCTACCATCAATGCTTCAAGCTCCGCTTCCGCACATGACAGCGATCTCAGACGAAAGCACACCGCCCAGACGAAATAGCCAGCTTTGTTCCTCAGGATAGCTCCACCCGTAGCTCTATCAGGTATGTACGAGGCATCAACATTCAATTTGTAACTCATACTACGTATTTTCCATTTGATTATTTGCGGACCTGTTCCTCTGAATTTGAATCTGGCTGAGATTAAACCTTCTTGGATTAAAAAACCGTCCACCTTCCTTCTTTTGATATTAGCAAGTTTGACTGCCCATTGTCGTGTGTAAATCTTAATGTGAGAAATGAGCCTTTCTGAATCTGGAATAGGTCTCTCACCCCATTTATACGCCGCATAAGTCTTCCATAAATACCAATTAATGATGCTAGGCAAATTATGTTTAAATATGTCAGCCAAGGTTTTAGAACCAACCTCTAACCACCAATGAATCAGAATCTGTCTATTAGAAGGAAAATTAGACATAGAAATGCCAAAAATACTCATGAAATGTTTCCAGATTTTTTGTGTGTAAGAACACCCAAAGAAAATATGATTGGTGGTTTCGCTGCAATTCCTACAGAATGGACACATAGAGGGTTGTATTACAATCTGGAATTTTTGTAGATTGTAAAGACTTGATGAGGAACATTATCAAAAATTTTCATCAAAAATTTTGAGCTCTAGAGTATGAAATTTTGAACATCATCAAAAAATTTCTTCTCGATCGAATTTTGAGCTGAAATTTGGTATGGATAAACTAGACTTGATGAGGAACATTATCAAAAATTTTCATCAAAAAATTCCACCGGAAACCGCCCCAAACGGCGGTGTTCGAACGGCGTTCGGACCGGAAGGTGCTGGACCTGAGAATTTTCCTATATATATATATATGTCCCGTTCATGTCATGACGTCCTGATCGTAACCCCCGTGCGGAAAACAACATCAGATGGTGTTTCCGGTGGAATTTTTTGATGAAATGTTTTGAGCACGTTCCTTATAAAGTCTAGTTTACGTATATCAGATTTCAACTCAAAATTTTATCGGGAAGACAGTTAAACAATTTTTTGAAACATATTGCGCTTTATATATGTACAAAATGTGCGGCAAGAGAAGAGCCATCACTTGTAGTGATGACTTTTGTACTTCAAGAGAAGAGCCGCCACTTCGAGTGACGACTTTACTTAACCACATTTAACCCAACAGTATTTTGGGAATTATTTTTAACCCAAGAATATATTGGAATTTATTTATTTAATTATTGTTATTCCGGGGAAAAACTTTAAATTTGTCTTATACCAAATTTGATACTCCCTCCGTTAGGGGTGGGCGTGGTTGGTTAACCGTGTTTTGGTTAACCAACTTTCCGGTTAACCGAGAAACCTATTACTTCGGTTAACCGAGTATCGGTTAACTAAAGCTTCGGTTAACCGAGTATCGGTTAACCAAAACTTCGGTTAACCACAAACCGGTTAACCAAAAACCATCAAACCATTGATTAAATATATACACACACCATGTTCTTTCTATATTAATTAAGTCCAAACAAGAGAAAAATAAATTTTGAGAGTGGAATACAGGAAAAGATAAAATACACTTAATAAGAATAAACGTGTTCAATTGCTTCAAAAAAAGAATACACATGTTCAAGTCTCACGATTGCAGAATGGGCTAATTAATTATAACTCACAAAAGCTTTGACTAATTATTAATAATATGAAATTAAAAATTCTATAGTGACAAACAGAATTTGGTTTCTTCACATGTTTATTAGAATTGATGTATCTAGATGTGTTGGATACATATTTATCTTTCCAAGTTTTCTGAGAACGTGAAGTTCATAACGTGACATGAACATACCGGTTATTGGTTAACCGATAATAACATATTTCTAAAACCGTAACCGTACCGCGAACCGTTTATTCTCACGGTTGGTTAACCGTACCGTGGATTTAAAAAATTGCGGTTCGGTTAACCGGGAAAAACGGCGGTTTTCCGGTTTTTAGGCGCGGTTATACGGTTACGGGTTTTTATGCCCACCCCTACCCTCCGTGACTCCGTCCCATTGGATTTTAAAAACTTTCTCTTTTTTGATCGTTTCAACAAACTTTGACACTTTCCCATTAAAGTAATTATTTTGTGGTTATACTCGTTTGTTTATCTTTGCACAAACTTGAAACACACCTATTTTATTTATTGCTTATTTTATTTTTAGTCCAGCAGGCTGAAGTTGGACATATTTGATCGAAAACACTGTTTCAATTCCTAACAGCAGAATCTGGAAATCTTTTCTATTGGCAAGGTTAACTGGCAGGGAGAAACCATGTTGAGAGCTCCGACACCGAACAGTCTCTCGAATCACCCGACACCGGAAAACGAATCTACTTCACAACAGCCTACAACGCCGCCGCAACAGCTACTTTCACAGCAGCTGAGGTCTTCATCTTTAGCTTCCAGGACTCATCAACTCCATCCTGCCCGACCTGCTATGATCGATCTTTTTAACCTCTACTTAGGAGTGGTATCAACTCTAGTCCAGTGTATTTGTTACTCAGTTCTTTGATAATTTTATTTTTCAGCCTATGTTATTGGCTTGTTATATACTCCCTTCATCTCTAGTTTAGCTTCTTAGTTGTTATGTCATTATCTTTAATTCGTATGATAAAAAATCATGAGTTAAATTTCGAAATAAATCGACATATTTCTTTTTTAGTTAAATAAATCTGATTAAAGTTTTCTAAAGTTTACCAACTGAAAAGTAGCGGGAAGCTAAATACTGGAAAGGAGAGTGCTATTTTTTAATATTCATCCAAAATTCAGTCTTATATATTTGTTTTTCAAATAAAATATCATGTCATTGCGGAAGAATGCGCGGAACAAGCAGGATGAGGCAACCCGAGAACCTCCGTACGTTTTCTATCTTGAGCTAAACTTATTAGGTTCAAGATTGATTTTGCTGCTTTGAACTACAAAAAATGATATGGGTTTTATGTGGTTTGTGTTGATCACATTCTTCTTTGCCACTTTAAATGTGAATTATGATCGGCCAAATGTGCAATGTTCCCTTTGCTTGCATACAATGTGATATTCCATGGCTCCATGCACTCTTCACATGCTCGAAGATGCCAATTGTAAACATATAATGATCTCCATCTGTCAATATCTGTCATCTCTGGCTGTTGCTTTTCACCCTATTTTTAGTTTCTAATCGATTATTTGTACACACTACATAGGAAGCATCTTTTGATATTCCTTATCATTTCATAGTTGCTGCATTGTGCACTGGGCACCACATTTTTGTTTGGTGTCCATGCTTTCTATACAAAGAGTACCAATCTGCACTTAATTTCTTAATTTCTTGATCTTGCACTAAGCATTACATTCTACTTTAGGCTAAAGATAGTATTCACTTATTCTGAATCAATAGTATTACTAACTGACTGTAGAAAGCCTGCAACTGGGTTTTTAATAAAAAACCATGTAGAAATTGAAATACTGATTTCTAAAAGGAGCTTTATAAACTGACGTATTTTTGTAAATTTTGCACAAAAAAAGAGCATGCAGTATTCAATGCGGTGCAAATGATTAATTGTCGTAGAGATGTGTATTAATTTTATTTGGAACCAAGTGTTTTTTTTTAAATTAGCATCATCTTATTTAAAAAATATTTGAGCTGGCAGTCCATTTTATGTTCATTTTCTTATATTCTTTTATTTTTGAATTGCTGAATATTATGATTCAAATAAAAATGATGCACAGGAACAAGGCACAGAAGAGAGTTACTGCTCTAAACAGGGAGTTTCCTCCCCAAAATGAACAATTCCTTATAGATTTTGAGCAACTGCAGAGCCAATTTACTGTAAGCTTCAAGATTAAGAATTTTTAGAGCTCTTTTAGTTGCTTCCTTCCGGGAATAATGAGTTTATGCTGACATGTTCTGCATCTTGATTGTGTGGCGGTTCATCAGGACCAAGAACAATTGCATGCTGTGACAGAATCTGTTCTCATATCTTTGGTTATTCAGTGTAGTAGCCATGCTCCCCGAGCAGAATTCCTCCTCTTCGCTATACATGGCCTGTGTAGCATAGGGTACATAAACTGGGATACTTTCTTTCCATCTCTTCTTTCTTCAGTTTCATCAGCAGACATGTGTGTTGGTCAGGGGAATCAAATTGCTGGTACCGGACCATCTGCTGCTTTATCACATTCTGTGATGCTGTCCAATTCCATTACAGTAACTAATACCTCCAATTTTCCTTCATCAAATCCTGCATCTCCTTTATCAAAGATCCATGGTATTGGATCTCCTGTGCAGCCGGCAGCTGAAACATCACCTTGTGTCACTTTGTCTGCCATGAAGTCATCTGATGTTAGTGCCGCAGGTCAACAGTCTATGGCAAGAGCAAATTTCTCCCTATGGGACAATGCACTTACTAGCCTGCAACTATTGTGTTACAAAATAATTCTAACTGGTTTGGAATCTAATTTGAAGCCTGCAACACATGCTGATATTTTGCATCACATGTTGAATTGGCTGATTAGCTGGGACCAAAAAAATGAGATGGGTGGCTTTGATGGGTCAAAACACTGCAAACTTGACAAGGCCCACATTGAGTGGCTACACAGTTGCTTAGATGTGATATGGTTGCTTGTTGAGGATGAGAAATGTCGTGTACCTTTTTATGAACTTCTCCGAGGTGGATTGCAATTTATAGAAAATATACCTGATGATGAGGCATTGTTCACTCTTATTTTAGAGATCCACCGGAGGAGGGACATGATGGCTATGCACATGCAAATGTTAGATCAACACCTTCACTGCCCAACATTTGGCACTCCAAGACTTTTGCCTCAGGGAACCTCAAATATGTCTTGTGAACAGGTGACTAACATGAGATACTCGCCGATTACATACCCCAGTGTGCTAGGAGAACCGCTACATGGAGAGGTAATACTATTCTCCAATTATATTAGGGCGTTGATTTTATATACTATTTTTTCAAATGGCACTGCTAGGAGAGCCGCTACTTGGAGAGGTAATACTATTCTCCAATTATATTAGGGCGTTGATTTTATATACTATTTTTTCAAATGCCATGTCTTTTTAGATTTAAAATGCAGAGGGGTTTTGTTTTCCAACATTCACATTGCTTTGAAAGTGCCCCCTGCCAGTGCATGAAATATGGAAAATCGCAGGGGGCTAATTTACAGCCTCAAAAGTGTTTGACTTATCGTGCATCTTTATTAGGATTACATGCTTTTCTTTCTTTGAGTAACACTAATCTTCGAAGTAGAATTCTCTTACATCCTTGAAGAGGTTATTTTTTCAGTTGTTAATATTTGACAAAGCACTCTTGGAAATTTGAGTCTACTTTCAAATAGATTTGAAAGTAGAATTAGTGATTAGCACTCTGCTGTTTTCTTTCTAAGGTCTCTTCACTCATCTTTGAGTGAACCAAACACAGCCTTCTTTCTATGTATCTATTATGGCTCTAAAAGTAGAGTTAATTATTAGCCATCTGCTGTTTTCTTTCTAAGATCTCTTCACTCATCTTTTAATGATTAGCCCCCGCTGTTTTTTCTCTTAGATCTCTTCACTCATCTTTGAGTGAACTATACACAACCTTCTTTCTATGTATGTATTAGCAATGTAGATCAGCATTGACGTGAGATGCCCATAAGAGGGAAGTAATTGAGATTAAGATGGCTATATATGATGGCAGCAATGGAGACTAAGACAACATCTTATAATCCATAGTACCATAATAGCTCATCATAATAAAACCCTAACTTTCTTTATGGTGCAGTTCTGAACTTGTAAACTCTTCAGACTGTAGATGGCAGTAGGGCTTATAAGATGCCCATAAGATGGCAGTAATGGAGATTATTATAATCCGAAAATGCTGAGTTGTATGTGTACGGGGTGCGGATGCTTTTTAAAAACAGGGGTACATGGTACAACCATATACACACACAGTCACAACCATATATATATATATATATATATATATATATATATATATATATATAGGAAAAAGATCATGTCCAGCCGGAGGGACAGGACCTTCCGTCTGGCCGCCGCTGTTTGGGACGGTTCCCGGTGGAATTTTTTGATGAAATTTATAGCATGTTCCTCATCAAGTCTAGTTTATCCACAAAAGATTTCAAATAAAAATTCAATCGGGAAGGCAGTCAAATGAAATTTGGAAAATAACTGCATTTTATATGTATATTTTGGCGCAGTTATCTTCAAGAATTTATTTAACTGCTTTCCCGATCGAATTTTTAGCTGATTTGTTTTGTGGATAAATTAGACTTGATGAGGAACATGCTCAAAAAATTTCATCAAAAAATTCCCTCGGGAACCGCCCCAAACGGCGGCTGGCCGAAGGGTTTTGTCCCTCCGGCTGGACAGGATCATTCCTATATATATATATATATATAGAGGAGTTTTCATGTGCGGACGGCCGCACCAGACCCGCCGTCCGGCTGACGGCGTTTGGCCGCCTTCCCGACGGAATTTCTTGATGAAATTTTTATGGCATGTTCTTTATCAAGTCTAGTTTATCCACAAAAAATTGAGCTAAAAACTCAATCCGGACGGTCGTCAAATGATTTTTTGAAGTTCACTGTGCTAAAAAATACGCAGTTAAGAGTTAACTTCCAAAAATCATTTGATGACCTTCCGGATTGAGTTTTTAGCTGATTTTTTTTGTGGATAAACTAGACTTCATGAAGAACATGTCATAAAAATTTCATCAAAAAATACCACCGGGAAGGTGGCAAAACGCCGTCGGACGGACGGCGGGTCTTGTGCGGCCGTCCGCATGAGAATACCACTCTCTCTCTCTCTCTATATATATATATATATATTTATATATATATATATATATATATATATATATATATATATATATATATATATATATATATATATATATATATATATATATAACCACCTAATAGTATAGGATATGAAAACCAAGCAACAATTAAAGAGATGTGATTACAAAGCCTATTGATAACCCCTAGAATGAGGACATGTCCTTCTAAGATACAATAAACCAAAATAAAGGGGAAAGAAAGCAGCACTAACCAATATGCATGACTAATATGTCAACAAACAAGGTCAAAGTTTTATTACATAAAGCAAAAAAGACTTCAAAAAATGAGTTTTCCTCTTTCCAACAAATGGACACTCCTTAGAGATAGCAATCCGGTTCTCTTGTCCGTCTTTTGCGCTTAAATGGCCATGATTTTCCCTCCTTCCAATTTCATGGATGACTATTTCACCCGATTTACATTTTCTAAGATTTGTGATTTGATGCTGCCATATCCCAGCCTCCCGAAGTTGCCGTTTCCCCACAGAATGACAAACCTCTTTCTGTAGTCTTCATTGGTGGCAGGCCGCAGAAGAAAGGATGAGCTTTGAATCTAACGATGGAGACGGCCACCGCCGAAAAAAATTAGCAGCGATTCCTTCATCGTGTCTATCTTTGCTTGATATGGCTATTCCCCTTCTTTTTCATTTCAATTGATTAATTACAGTGGGGTTGTGATAAGATTAGATGTATGTTAAGCGGTGAAAAAAACAAAACCATGTAAAAGTTACCAGTACCCAGCTTGCACCGTATCCACCATGTACCTACGGTGTACCTAAAAAATAACAACAAAAACTTAAAGTTAGGACTTACCTGGCTGTATGCACGGGTACCCATACCCAAAAAGTCCCTGGTATGGGTACTACTACTAAAATTGAGTACCCATGCTTCAGATCTAAAATTTCATGATATTATTTGGAGCAATCCGTTAAAACTTGACGCATAAGATGGCAGGTGGGTTCCCTTCTAAATACAGTATTGCAATATTCATAAAAAATGCTTCAACTTTACTTTGTTGATACCCACTAGACCACCTTCGCGAAATTGATGGATAAGTAAGCATAGTTTTGAATTGTAGTGTACTTGTATGTTCTTAATCGATCAGTCAGTTGAGAGAATAGGAGCTATAATAATATGAGTTACATTAAAATGGGCTGGATCAATTACTAAGCACCCAAAAAAGAAAGACAAGGATATAGGGGTAGGCCAAGATGCTTGGCTGAGTGATGATCGATGAAATAGAAGGGTTCTAATTCATTTGAATGCATAGATCTGAATGGTGAAATTGAATATATGCATACATACACACACACAACTAGATTCTTTACCCGTGATGCATAGTTTGTATGTTTAATTGTGTCATTAAATGGCGGTGGGATTCTAACGAATAGTTTGAGCAATTCGGATTTACATCTCTCAAAAGTTTGGGATGGATTTTTAAAGCACATGGTTAGTTCGGCGAAGTCAGGGTCACTTCGTGCTATTAAAAACTTGTCATTAGATATGTAAGTATTCCGGTACATATTTGTGTTTATAGAATATAATTACAACGGATCTAAGCAATTGCGGAACACTAAAATTGTTACTGAACTCTTGTAAATATCCAATAACCAAAAGCATTTTTGATGTAGCTTTAAAATTCAAAATTTTAACTTTATCAAACACTCAATATTAATATGTAAGGAGTACTACATTTTCTTGATGTCAGTAGAAAAAGTGAATCTTCAAAGGTGTGTACTTGTCATTCATCATACCCTTCCCATCGAAATTGGAAAATAAACAAAATTGTTACATCTCTAGGAAGCTGCAAGACTTCGACTTTCGTCAATAATCTAATCTACAACTAAATCTATTTGATGACAATCAATCATATATGAAGTTGAGAAAGAATTAGAGAGAATTAAAATCTGCATGTAAAAGGGTAGTGAAAGAATTATGCAAGGAATCACCATCATACTCAAAGTATTCATTGTTGCTTTCAAATTCAAAAGAATTACTACCCAGATATAGAAGTCAATGAATCTCATAGAATAGTTATAATTCAGCTAGCTAAATTTGGCAATCTTAAAGAAAGGATTCAGCTTATGTTGAAGGAGAAGACATAGTACTATGACGTGCCTCCTTGCCGACACAATGCATAAAAAGAGAAATTTTCTTTTAAAATTACTAGAATAAAATCCATGAACAAAAATATTACCGAATTTATTATGACTATGAGTTCATGATTACTATAGTACAAAATCAATCATTATTATACTGAATATAAGATTTACTAATATAGTAACTTTGTTTTTTTTTTGCGGTTCAGTAGAACATTAAATGCAGTATCTTAATATGTAAATTTTTATGACTAATAATAAATTAGATATTACTCTTTATTTGAAATAAATTAACTTAATCATGCAGTATTGTGTCTATTCTCATTGATTGTCTTTGGATTTCCAAATTTACTTTACAATAGAATCTTAACTGAAAATGTATGGATATAGGATCTTGCTGCTTCTATCCAAAGAGGAAGTCTGGATTGGGAGAGAGCTGTGCGATGTCTAAGACATGCTCTTCGCAGCACTCCATCACCAGACTGGTGGAGGCGTGTACTTCTTGTGGCGCCTTGTCACAGACCTAGTGTACAGGCTCTGACTCCTGGTGCAGTATTCACATCTGAAATGATCTGTGAGGCAATAATTGAAAGGATTGTTGAGTTGTTAAAGCTGACTAATTCAGGTCGCGTCATTTGATATTTCCCTATTTCTTGAAATATGTTAAAGGTGGATGGATCGTTGTATAATTTATGAGACATAGGATGAGAGAATGTTGACTTAGCTCATCTAAGCTAATTTAGGATGTTTTTACTTGGACTGAAATTTCTGGTCTGTTGGTCTGATCTGTTTAAATGTGGTATGGTCTGGTTTGAACTGGTCAGGATGTCTGGTAGATGGCTGATCTATGTGTATTTTTATAAGTGTCAAAGTTTGGTCTGGTCTGTTTAAGGGCGGTCTATTTTGTTTAAGACCATCTGGTCTGTTTTGGACTTCTGGTCTAGTATGGGACTGAAAGCAGCCCAAGTAAAAACATCCTTATTGTACTAGTAATTGTAGTATTTAAAAAAACTTACATATTCAGAATATTGTTCTTAAATAATATTATGATGGCATGGCGGAATGCCATGGCTGATTTTGTGCTAGCCACCATAGGCAACATATGTGAAGCACAATGATAACGTAAAGAGGGAGGGATGCAATGAAAAGAATGAATGGAATGAAATGGAAAACAATGAGTTTTTTAAATCAAATGAAGAGAAAGAATAAACTTGGGGTGCACCACCCTTCAACAACAATTTAATCTTGCCCAACAAGAATAACTTATCCATATTACTTAGCTTAATACGTATAATATAGTTACCATATGCACACCGATGCAGTAGAGGGATACTCCGTATTATTTATACTTGAATACAACGTATTAGATAAGCCAGAGTAATCTAGCATTGTTAAGAGACTAATTTAACCTATCATTCCATATATACATGTTTCACCATGCCCCTTGAAAATTGGAATATGTAATTTTGAGTGATTTAATTAGCTTTTTTGGAGCAAACCTTGATATCCTCTTTTACTTCTCGAGTCCACTTTCCACTATATGTCTCTGTAACATGTATGATTGCCACACACCAGAAAACGGCATTGTCCACAAGTCTTAAAATATGAATTAACACATATCTTTTCTGCACGTTTTTTGTCACTTTTCACACAATTCATACAGATCTAAACATTCCTTCAACACGGCTGCAGCATTTTTCAGTCTCCTTAGACCCACTAGTACCATTGCTGCATTCAACAGTTCCTTACCACCAGTCACAGTTTTGATAAAGTAGTTAATAGCTCCTTGCCCCATATAACTTTAATTCAATACCAGTGAATCGAGATAATCACTTTCTAACACTGGATTTATCAACATTCATAATTGTTGGATAATCCCAAAATGAGAGCAATGAGGCCTTAAAAAACTGGGACATAAGATGGAATATGGCTCCATAAAAGTCCTCACTGCATGTGAAGGTGCGTGAAGGGAAGGAGATATGAAGCCTGTGGCACTTGAGATCTCACTGAGCACCTTCTTATGACTGGAGAAATTGGCTGGCTCTCCCCCTTGCCCATCTGCTCAAATTTTATAGACTCAAAAGATGCTAAAAAGTGAAAATGATGAAAATTAGAGTTTGAGAACCAGATTTTTTTGCAGTGTTTTTCAACATTACAGACCATAAAGTATTCAAGATGCCCTATTAATAAACGTAGTACTTTGTACATAAATTAGGGTTCTGCATGAATGGGCTAAGCCTACTATAATTAGGGTTAGCCTACAATACTCTGAACCCATGTTGTAAAAAGTCACTCTAGACGCCCACTTCACCTAGACAGATCTGTTTCTAGGAGCAGACGCCTGATCAGACATTTCTAGCTGGCCTTAAGCTTGATTAGGCACCTTGACAGGCTAGGCACCATTTGAGGGCATTCTGGCGCTTGCTGCAGCACTATTTAAAACAATTACTTCTGATTTTTAGTTGGCCTTTGAAGATAGAGGTATATGGTGGAAAGTGGCACTAAGTCGGGAGGTTAAATTAAACCTGGCTGGCATGTTTTTATCATTGTAAAAATATTGATCTGACGTTTTTATGATTTATGTATTCTCTTTTGAGTATGTAACTGAATATTTGTATACTGATAATTTCAACTGTTTTTTTGCAGAAATGAATTGCTGGCAGGAGTGGCTCATATTTTCTGATGTATTCTATTTTCTTATGAAAAGTGGATGCATTGATTTTGTTGATTTTGTGGACAAGCTAGTATTACGGCTCCAGGAAGATGATCAACATATACTTAGGACGAATCATGTCACATGGCTGCTGGCACAAATTATTCGGGTTGAGCTAGTGATAAATGCTCTGAACCTGGACTCAAGAAAGGTTGTGTTACATGGGTTTAAGGGTATAGCCTAGTTGCTTTCAGATGTGCTTTGAATTTCTTGCCAACCTATTACTTCTGTCTATGGCTCTGTGCTCATTATAAACAGTTTTATCATCTACTTGTGTTCCGCATGACTTTAGTTCAAAACTTTTTATTACTTTTTGTACTTATTGAGTTCCAAAAGGCAATGCGCCACAGCTCCTACTTCCTTTTCATAGTCATCCTTATTTTTCATTGTATGTATCTCAGGGAAGAGTTTTCTGGAGTTAATGCATTATAATCATTAAATTTATTATGTTTTTGGATTTAAAAGCTCTGTTTTTTAAAACTCTAAATTTGTATTGATTGAAAAAGGTGTACTATGTTGCACATTTTTGTATTAATTATATATCCTTCTGGGTAATTGTTTTTCTTAGGACAAGCTGTCTTTGTGTCGTTATTCTTGTGCCTTCATCATTAATTCGTTATACAGTACTGTTATACCAAAAGCATATAGTACTCATAAAATAATGTGTTTTAACACCTTTTAGTTTTTAGTGTATATACTTCTATCTGAGTTTTTCTGATTAGTTAAAGAGGCTAAGTTTTTATATAAAATTATCCATTTATATCCTTTTGAATTATTTTGCATGATTCTTGTAAGTAGTTTTTAATTCAAAATAAAATTTCTAATAGGTGGAGACAACCAAAAAAATTGTGTCGTTTCATAAAGATGAGAAAAGCTGTGACCCTAATAGTCCCCAAAGTATCCTCCTTGACTTTATAAGCAGTTGTCAGAACTTGCGGATTTGGTCACTCAATACATCAACTAGAGAGTATCTGAACAATGAGCAACTTCAAAAGGGAAAGCAAATAGATGAATGGTGGAAGCAAGTGAGTAAAGGTGCCTATTCTGTTACTCAATTGGCTCTGTTTAATGTTTATCCAAGTGATTTCAATCGCATGCAGTAAATTTTGTCGGGATACTAAAAGGTTAGTTTTTGATGTGCTACTTTAAATAGATTCTGGACTCGGGGAGTTTATATGGGTAAACTGTCTATCAATCATTATTTGATGAGACTATGTGAGTCATCTGTTGACAGCAAAATTTCTTCATCATTGTTCAGTCCCTACCAACTTTGTATCCATCTTTCTATTTTTCTAATAGACAAACTATGATTGAGAGGAATTTGGGGAGATCCAACTTCTTTTAAATCTGTCTGAGATAAATCCTGCTTACTTGCTTAGAGATTCTTGAAAAGCAGCAAAGGCTAAATTTCCTACAGAACCACTTTCATATCTATACAGTATAATAAAACTTGCAATGGATACTTAATTTAAAATATCTAACCTTTCTTCAACATGATTTGGAGAAACAACAAGATGCCAGTGAGTTGGCGGAAGAGTACTCTGATTCCCTTATTTAAAAATAAGGGTGATGTACAAGAATGTGCTAACTATCGAGGGATTAAGCTTATGAGTCACACCATGAAACTTTGGAGCGAGTGGTTGAGCAAAGACTTCGTAAAAGTGTGAAAATTTCAGAGAATCAATTTGGTTTTATACCTGGACGCTCAACAACTGAGGCCATTCACCTTCTTAGACAAGTTATGGAGAAGTATAGAGACACTAAAAAAGATTTGCATTTGGTGTTCATTGACTTAGAAAAGGCATATGATAGGGTACCTCGAGAAGTCCTGTGGTGGGCCTTAACTAGAAAAGGCATATCACGTAAGTATATCTGTTGATAAAACGAAGAGACATCATTAATTTAGGATTTATTTTCCTTATTATTACTGTAATTATGTGTCTTTAGTGCTTCAGGTTGTATTTAATAGCTGCTGTCTTTTCAGTTTTCAATCATTTATGTTTAGTATTTAGACAGTCACTTAGGGTGCTGAATAGACTCTCTCGGGATTCCTATCTGTATAAATAGCTTATGTACTTCTTGTAAATGAATTCAAGGAAATAATATTCAGAAAACTTCATGGTATCAGAGGTTGGTTTCGTCTAAGCCTTTTTTGAGTCTATCACCTCTCCAACGGTCATTTTTTGGGTGTCTCTACCCTTCTCTCTCTTTAACTCCCGGTGGAGTCTCTTCATCAAGGGTTTTATCATGTCTAAAGAAGCCGAATCAGCCTCAAGTAACCTTGATCACTCAACCATTGTTTCAGCTGCTACTGCAGCCGCGTTTGCTCTTCGAAACCAGAAATTTGATCTCCCTTCTATCCCGCCATCTTACCGTCTCAATGGCAGGAACTATCTTGGGTGGTCAAAGCTGGTTTACACTCTCCTACGTGGCAAAGATCTTGAAGACTATCTCACTATCTCTACCCCAGAAGAAGGAGAGATTGATGCTGCTATTTGGGAGAAAACTAATGCCAACATACGGGTCTGGTTATGGGACTCTATGGATCCCACCATTAGCAGTACATGTTTATACATGGACTCGGCTAAAGAAATCTGGGATTTCATACAGCAGTCCTACTCTGTTGCTAAAGATGGCGCTTTTGTCTATGACTTATGGCTCAAAACAACAAATCTTAAGCAAGATTCACAATCTGTCACAGATTATGCAACTGACCTCCAACGACGATGGTCTGAACTTGACCAGTATCAAACGATGAAGTGGTCGAATGCTGCAGATGCAGCTCTTCACAAGAACTATATAAATCAGCAACGTCTATATTGCTTCTTGTCTGGTTTAAATCCCGAATATGATCAGACTCGGGGTCAAATTCTTGGCATTACTCCTCTGCCTTCCATATCTTCTGCCATTGCCAATATCAAACATGAAGAGAGCAGACGCAATATAATGATGAATACAAATCTGATTGACAGTACAGCTCTTGCTGCCAAATCTACTCCTTCAGATGTTAAGGAAACTAAGGGTAGTAAGGGAGGAAGATGGTGTGATCATTGCAAGCGGTCCAACCATAATGTGGATACATGCTGGAAACTTTATCCTCATCTACAAAAAGAAAGAAAAAGCCAGGACAGACGTGGAACTAGTGCTGGACGTGCCAACTCAGTCACTCCCACTATGGTTGAGAGCTCTACTAATCTTTGGCCCATTTCCCAGGAGGAATTAAAGCAACTTCGTATGATGTTACAGTCTCTTAATAACTCAAATGGTTCTGGTCATAGCTCTTTGGCCCTGCAAGGTAAAACCTCTACTATTTTTTGTCTTAATGCTTCGGAACAGAGTTCACAATCCCAATGGATATTAGACTCAGGTGCCACATCTCATATGACTGCCATACCCTCTTTACTCTCTAATTATCATCCATGTTTTACATCCACACACATTACTACTGCTGATGGGACACCTACAAAGGTTGCGGGACTTGGTACGGTTGTTTTTTCTGAAAAATTAAATCTGAAAAACACCATACATGTCCCAAACCTGGCTATGAACCTTGCTTCTATTTACAAACTCACAGTTGATCTTAATTGTGCTGCCATTTTTTTCCCTTCCCACTGTTTATTACAGGATCTACACACGGGGAGGACGATTGGAATTGCTAAACAAAGAGATGGCCTGTACTACCTTGATGCACTGTTTGTCTCCAAACCTCCACAAAAAGCTCTTACCACAATCACAGCCAATACCAACACTATTTGGCTTCACCACAAGCGCCTTGGTCATCCCTCTTTTCATGTCCTAAAAACCATGCTTCCTAGTCTTTTTAGTAGTATTGATGTTTCTACATTTCAATGTGATGTCTGTGAACTTGCTAAACAATCCCGTGTATCTTTTTCTAGAAGTAATACAATCAGTTGTTCTCCTTTTGATATTATACATAGTGATGTCTGGGGTCCTGCTCCAATTGCTAATATATCTGGTGCCCGGTGGTATGTTACATTTATTGATGATTGTACACGTTTTATGTGGGTTTTTCTGCTAAAAAACAAGAGTGAGGTGAGTTCCATCATTCCTATCTTTTGCAATATGATTCATAATCAGTTCTCCACCACAATAAAACGCTTCCGCATTGATAATGCTCTTGAATACTTCAATCAAACTGTTTCCTCTTATTTCCTCTCAAAAGGCATTGTTCATGAGTCCTCTTGTCCGTACACACCACAACAGAATGGCACAACAGAAAGAAAAAATTGCCATCTCCTAGACGTCAGTCGGGCTTTATTGTTTCAATCAATTATGCCTAAACACTATTGGGGGGAAGCCACACTCACATCATGTCATCTCATCAATAAAATTCCCAGTCGGGTAGTCCAAAATAAGTCACCCCTTGAATCTCTCCGTCACTTCTTTCCTCAAACCAGAATTTCTTCTGATCTTGATCTAAGGGTGTTTGGGTGTACTGCATTTGTTCATATTCCTCCACCTCATAGGGGAAAATTGGACCCACGATCTATTAAGTGTATCTTTCTTGGTTATTCTCCAACTCAGAAAGAATATAAGTGCTATAATCCTACAACCAGAAAGACATACACCAGTGCAGATGTGACCTTTCACGAAGACACACCTTTTTACATTCCTACTTCTCTCCCTGTATCCCAAGATACTCCACATCCTTCACCTCTGCCCACCTATACTATTACATCTTCTCCACCACATACAATCTCCTACCCTCCTAAGCCTTTATCACCAGACATCCCATCACCACCACCACCACCGCATGATCATCCATCACCTTCCTTAGATGTGTCAGCAACCTCACCTACGTCCCAACAGTCTTCAACATCACCTGAACCTCAATCAAATACACCACCAGACCATCTCATTCCTACACCTACTAAATCCATCACTCATGACCCATCTTCTCCTCTACCAGTGACAAAAGTGTACTCAAGGAAAAACAGGTTCACTCCATTGTTGACGCATGACCAATTGGCTGACCCAGGTAATGTCTCTTCTTCTCCACCACCATCTCCGCCAATTGCTTTACGCAAGGGTGTACGTCAATGTACCAAAACACCTCTATACCCTCTTGCTAATTTTGTTACCATTGATAACTTCTCTCCTTCACATGCCTTGTTTGTTCAGAGACTTAATGAAATTCCCATACCCAACTTTGTTTCTGAGGCATTAGGAAAGAAAGAATGGAGGGATGCTATGCAAGAGGAAATTAGAGCTCTTGAAAAGAACCATACTTGGGATATTGTGACTAAACCTCCTGGGAGGCATGTTGTTGGTTGCAGGTGGATCTTTACTGTCAAATACAAGGCTGATGGATCTCTTGAGCGGTACAAAGCTCGTCTTGTGGCTAAAGGATACACTCAGACGTATGGGATTGACTATCAAGAGACCTTTGCTCCTGTAGCTAAGCTCAATACTGTCCGTATCCTACTATCCTTGGCATCTCACTTTGATTGGCCTTTATTGCAATTTGATGTCAAGAATGCTTTTCTCCACGGTGACTTGCATGATGAGATCGACATGTACATTCCCCCAGGCTTTAATAAAACATCAACAAGAACCTCTACACATGTATGTCATTTAAAAAAGCTCTCTATGGTCTCAAGCAATCCCCTCGTGCTTGGTTTGACCGCTTCACACAGGTTGTTCTTACTGCTGGGTATAGTCAAAGCCAAGGGGATCATACTCTTTTTTACAAACACTCTCGCCCAAATGGAGTCACTATTCTTTTAGTATATGTGGATGACATCATTGTGACGGGTAATGATCCAGTTGAGAAACAACGTCTTGAGGGGCAGCTCAAATCCAAATTCGAGATGAAGTCTCTTGGCCCTCTAAAATACTTTCTTGGAATTGAAGTTGCTCGCTCATCTGAAGGCATCTTTATCAGCCAACAAAAGTACATTACAGATTTGTTAAATGAGACTGGTAAGAGTGCTTGTCGACCGGTTAATGCACCTATGGATCCTAATCATAAGCTTGGACTTGCTACTGATGAACCCAAGGTTGATTCGTCAATGTATCAGCGCTTGTGTGGCAAACTTATCTATCTCTCTCATACTAGACCTGACATTGCCTATGCAGTTAGTGTTTTGAGTCAGTTCATGCATGATCCAAGGAAACCACATCTAGAAGCAGCCTATAGGGTTCTTCACTACCTAAAAGGAAGTCCAGGGCAAAGGATAATATTCAGGAAGGGTGGGCAATTATCAGTCCAAGCCTTCACTGATGCAGATTATGGTGGCTCCCTCGTTGACCGCCGGTCAACTACTGGTCTCTGTGTTTTCCTAGCAGGAAACCTCGTGACATGGAGAAGCAAAAAACAGAATGTTGTGGCACGATCATCTGCTGAAGCTGAGCTAAGAGCTCTTGCCCATGGCTTATGTGAACTTCTATGGATCAGAATTATTCTCTTAGATTTACGAATCAAGTGGAAAGGACCAATGGAATTGAGTTGTGATAACAAATCAGCAATCAACATAGCTCATAATCCAGCCCAACATGATCGGACCAAGCATATTGAGATTGATAGGCACTTTATCAAAGAAAAGGTTGAAGGAGGTCTGATCGAACTAAGCTACACTCCCTCAGAAGATCAAGTTGCAGATGTGTTTACCAAACCTCTGCACAGTCCGAGGTTCCAGGGTCTTATTGTCAAGCTAGGCATGACGGATATCTACAAACCTAGCTTGAGGGGGAGTGTTGATAAAACGAAGAGACATCATTAATCTAGGATTTATTTTCCTTATTATTACTGTAATTATGTGTCTTTAGTGCTTCAGGTTGTATTTAATAGCTGCTGTCTTTTCAGTTCTCAATCATTTATGTTTAGTATTTAGACAGTCACCTAGGGTGCTGAATAGACTCTCTCAGGATTCCTATCTGTATAAATAGCTTATGTACTTCTTGTAAATGAATTCAAGGAAATAATATTCAGAAAACTTCAATATCAGTATCATCATGGATATGTATGATGCTTGTACTACAAGTGTCCGCACTAGTGTAGGGAGGACCACAGAGTTCCCTATTACTATCGGAGTGCACCAAGGATCTGCTCTGAGTCCTTTCTTATTTGCTATAGTCATGGATGAAATTACGAAGTCAATTCAAGAAGATATACCGTGGTGCATGATGTTTGCTGATGATATTGTATTGATTGATGAGACACAATTCGGTGTTAAAGCAAAGTTGGAAGTATGGCGACAAACATTGGAGACCAAGGGTTTCAGACTGAGCCGAAGCAAGACTGAGTATATGGAGTGCAAGTTTGGTGGAGGTAGAAGTAGTAGCAACAATGTGATTACTCTTGATGGTAAGGAGATACCGGTGTGTGATATGTTCCGTTACATGGGTTCCATAATTCAGAAGGATGGTGAATTAGATGGAGATGTATGCCATAGAATCAGAACTGATATGCGTCTTCTTGGGTTGGATGAGAGTATGGCTTTGGAGAGAGCAAAGTGGAGGGCGCACATCCGTGTGGACGACTGATGTCTTTTCTACCTTTCCTCTATCTTTGTATATTGTATATTGTTATGTTATTTTTATATTCTAGCTTTTTTATGCTTTTTTTTATCTTTTATCTTTCTTATATTCTTGTGTTATTGTTATCTTATATTTATTTATCTTTATTTTATTCGTTTTATCTTACTTTTTTTTCTTCCCTTTCTTGTCCATCTTCTCTGTTTGGCATCGATATCATTGATCGATTCATGTTAGCCGACCCCAAATTCTTTTGGGATTAAGGCTTGGATGTTGTTGTTGTTGTGTAGTGTATCTTGAATACATACTAAATCATGTCATCATGTGTGAATCATGTTTAATGACAGTTGTTGGTTAGTTGCAAGAAGGTTAGTTGTAAAAAGTGGAATATAGAAAGTGAGTTATTAATTACAGGGACAGAATGACAGAACTTCTGTGTATATGCCTTGGATTCATCTCAAAGTAAGGGAAATATGTTCCACTGGTATCAGATCCTTCTCTACAAGGGGAAGAACTTTTGAATCTATATCTATCCCTGATTTCTTTCTCCTTAAGTGTGCACCAGAGCCCTATTGTTTGAACACAATGTACCAAAATCCAACTAGGTACTCGTATTACCCTGTCATACAAATTGCTGTACTTGGTCTTGGGGTTAAAATATCCATTGAAAAACTTGTTACAATTTTAGCATGTCGCAAGGTTTTGCTTCAATCTCACTCAATCACTTCTAGGATCTGCGGGCGCGCATCCTTTGTTCATGTTCATAGAAATATATTACATAGAGACATGCATAATGGACTGTAAACTTATCGTACCACCCATTGATAAAAACATAAATAAGGTGAAGCCTTGGATGACAAAGCAGAGTATAAAGAGATTTATCAGTAACCTGTGGGGAAGCTTATTTATCTTACTCATACTTCACCAGAAATGCCTGCTAAGTGACTGTTGTAAGTCATTTCATGCATCACCTGAGAAAGATTCATCTGCATGCAGCCAGCCTAGTTCTCCATCACTTAAAAACACATCCAGTGATGTGGTCTTGTTGGAATGGGAATTGAATGTTCTTTTGAGGGTACATGTACTCCCTAGTCTCATGGGCAGGAAGTCAATAACAGGTCATGACCTTTTTCCTAGAAGATATAATATCTTTTGAGGGTACATGTACTCTCTAGTCTCATGGACTGCATCACTGGTTGCAAGCACAATGTAGTGGTTGCAGTAGTGGTTATAACTGCATTGGGGCATGATTGTGATATGAAAGGAGATCACGGGTTATGGCTGCATTCTGACGGCGTTGGTCGCAACCGTGACCTTTGTTTATAACCGTGAGTCCTTGACCTGTATTTATTTCAAAATAAGAAATATATATTTCAATTCAGTTTTTCTTTAAACAAATTTGTTGGAAGAGATTTATGATTCTGGACAATTTGAATTAGTTACACATTTAGGCAGGTATTTGGAATCCACCAAAAAAAATAAAAATAAATACTTGGAGCTCCAAGCTTCCAAACATCCAACAGTAATGTATTAGTTTTTAGTAAATTATCGTGGATTTGAATTACATATTGTGTTGTTCTATTTTTGAAATGTCAGCGGAACGCATGATGGATTATATGAATTTGGATGATAGATCAATTGGGATGTTTTGGGTTGTATCTTACACAATGGCACAGCCTGCTTGTGAAATGGTGATGAATTGGTTAACTTCAGCTGGTTTTACAGAGTTATTAACTGGACCAAATGTGCAGTCCACTGAGAGAATAATGATGATGCGTGAAGTTGTCCCATTGCCAATATCATTGCTCTCAGGGTTTTCTATAAATTTGTGCATGAAACTTGCTCTTCAGATGGAGGATTGTATGTTTTCCGGACAGGTTAGCTACCTACAGGAACTAGTTTTTCATTATCATAAGCTTTTATGGTGATGTGCCTCTAGGTGTTTGAAAACATCGGCACTTCTTCGGGTTCTGGTTTTATGCAAGATGGGACACACACTATTAACCTTTACTAGTAGCCCTAACTCTTAAGTGTAAGTACTAGTGAAGCGTTAAATGTAAAATAACAAAATCTAATCACTATTGATGTTGCATTTGTTTTTATGGACTAGTATGCATTTGATGCTTTATGACACGAACTTATCTCATTATCAACCAAACTCCTTGTTGTATTGAAGTGATTCATGTCATATGCACTTGGTCTTTTCAAAGAACACTACTTAATTTTATCTATGATTGCAGGTACCTAGCATTGCTATGGTTGAAACATATTGTAGGTTGCTGCTCATATCTCCTCATTCACTATTTCGCTCCCACTTAAATGTAATCAATCTTTCCTCTATTCTGGATTTATGGTCAGGTTTATCCTCAATAGGCATGTTCATCATTGGTTGGAAATTGCTTTTCTTTGAAACAGAACATAAAGTATGGCAACTATGTTAATTTCGATTTTGCCACAACTTCTACTTCTGTTAGTTAATTAATAATATTTGTGTACTTGCTAATGCATTGTATTGATATGTATATTGATGAGAAATCGGTCCATAATTCCATATTAATAATACAAATATGTACGAGATGGGTCGAGCCCACAAGGATTAAGTTGGCTATGTGCCTAGCTTGTTACATCTGTAATGTATTCTAGTACGTTTGAGTGACATTCAACCTACATGTCACAGCGTTTAGGGTCCATTTTGAAAGCCCAAAAAGTGTGTTTTGAAACACGATTTTCTGCAAAATCAGTTTCATTTAATGGCCTTTGGATGGAGTTGGGAAAAGTCTACTTATTTGTTTGGTTCGTTTTCCAGAATACTAGCACCCTACCTGTTGGAAAGCCCCCCCCTCCTAAATAAATTGTAATAATTATCAAACTATAACAAAGTCATTATGATGTAATAATGATAATATGATTGACGAATGGAAAATAAGTGTTTTATTAGAAAATAAATCCAACCACAATGCTAGTGTACTAGTGTTGATGCTTTGATTCCAAAATATAAAGATGTCTTCCCCTGACATAGCCATGTCATGCACTTCCATGGAAGTGTTCACAAAAACTGATGTCAGTATGTCATGCGAATTCAACAAAGTATATATAAGTAGCAACAAATGACATGGAATTTCTCAATCGATGTTCTCTCATTCTTAGCACTTTTAGGCTGTACCCTGGAAGATTTCTTCCTCCTCATTTTACATCAGATTTTTGCCTTTACAAAGGTGTTCTTCACTCGGTCCAGAACCAGTAGTCATCACCTGTCCATCACTTTGTTGGAATACAAGGAATGAATGGCTTTTGCAAGATCACCAAGTTTATCGGTCACATTGTCAACATTAAGTACTTTGTTTTTTTACGTCCGACTTTTTGTAATGAGGTAAGTGTAGATAAAGATGCTTTCCCCCTTAGCTCTTCTTCTTGTTCATACAGAGTCAAGGGGGCAGATCACTTCCACAAAAATGGCCATTTGCTCATAGTGCTCAATTTTTTTGCTAGATACACTCGATATGTAGGATTCATCTGTATAAAAAATTATACTACGTATCAGATTATAATCTATAGTTATAAGTCATGTCCTAACATTTGTTTCTGAATTAGCTATATAAGAACTAAATGATGAACATAATTTGACCATCAGCGAAATGCATCATATGTAGATGAGTCACACGTAATCATCTTATTGTCATACCATCCAAGACCACTAAGATGTGTAATCTAATTGCATTGGGACAAGAATTGAAGCATATAGAGTGACAGGAAACATCAATTTCCAAAATTTTATGATGAGTACAGCAAGGAAATAGAAAAAATAATTTAGAAAATTTGAAATCATTCTATGATGCAGGTACAAAAGGGATTCTATGTTGGAGGAATGAGTGTTGGGAACAGTAGGGTAACATGCAGGCAAAACGTTAGTGGCATAGTTGAGAACTTCGAAATGGACATGTGGCAAAAGTGTAAAACTGCAGACAAAATAAGGAATGACATGATAGAAGAGAAGGCGAAGTAGCACCGATTTGAGATTAGAGGAGGTAGAATCTTCATAGATGGGTTGATGTCTTTTAAAGGGTGCAATGGCTTAGGAATGCAACATCAAAGTTGTATATAAGGACCTAAATAACTGACCAAGACAACTAGAGGATACCTTAAAAGTATGCGTTTAGCACTGAGATGACTCTACAAGAGCGAATGATATGATTTAGTCCTTGTAGCTGACCTCACCTCGCAGTAAAATGCTTTAGTTTAGCTTGAGATTTATAGAAAATTACAACATAATATTAAACCCAATGCAGATGTGAAAATTTGTTTTGGTTGACTTATATACTATAAGTGGCTTCATAATCTTTTGTTAACGTTCCTAAAATAATTTTTTTTACGATACAAGGACAGTAGTTTAAAAATAATGTTCTTTTTCGTATATACATATTGCCATCACTTCCTCCATGTTTAACTTTAGGATATGCAATTTCTCTTCTTCCTCTTCGGTCTTTCCTCAGTTGTTAAAAACAAATAAAATGTTTTGCATATTTTTGTTGATGCTCATTATCTTTGTTCTTATCCCATACTTCTGCTGCAGCACCTGACACAGAGAAACCAAGCCACCTTAACCAGGCCTGGGAATACAATATTGGTTTTTGAAATTTTCAACTATCGCTTACTTCCACTGTACAGGTTGCTTATCTCGTGCATTCAGCTCTGGACTCTCATTTTACTGTTTATCTGCTATGTTATGAAGTCGATCGTGTGTTGTTAAGATGATATGTGGATGATCTACTTATATAGCACTATTATGTGCCAAAACTTACATTAGTCCACATCATGTGTATCATGCTATGTGCCTGTTAGTCTATCCCATATGCCTATTATTTTGGTCATATTTGAGATGTTCCATTAGCTTTGTATTTAATGAACGATTACTGCTGACAACGTTCATCTGCTTGCTTTACCTAGCTTATTTTCTTAAGTAAAGAAAAAGATGTCATTAATGGGTACCATGGGGTTACCACATGATCAACCCTCTCAGAAGGATATTTTATGTATATCTCTTACCACACATTGTCCACACCTAGAATATTATTTTCCTAAAAATTTATTGGCAGGTGCCACAGAGACTTTTTTGTAAGAATAATATGATGTTGCTAAGGATGGGGCTATGTTTTCATTTTGCAATTATATGTTTTTATATATGCTGATGAGTGTTGCTCGTGTCGTCTCCAGATACCAAGGGAAAAGCAAGACATTAATGTATGATGTCACCAAAATGATATCTACATTAAAGGGGAAACGTGGTGATCATCGAATTTTCAGATTAGCTGAAAATCTGTGCATGAATCTTATTTTATCAATGAGAGATTTTTTCTTTGTGAAGAGAGAAGGCAAGGTACGTAAGTATGTTTTATGCTGACTCTGTGTTTTACAGTGAGACATAAGTTTTCTTACATTCAAAATCTATTGCAGGGTCCAACAGACTTCACTGAGACTTTGAATCGCATGACCGTTACAACTCTTGCAGTCATTATTAAAACTCGTGGAATTGCAGATTTTGAGCACCTACTCTATCTACAAACAATGTTGGAACAGATATTGTCAACTAGTCAGCATTCTTGGTCAGAGAAAACACTTAGATACTTCCCATCTATCTTACGTGATGCATTGAATGGCCGAATGGATAAAAGAACACTTACTATTCAAGCATGGCAACAGGTACATATATCCCATGTCTTTGTGCATGTCTTCTGAAGATTTCTTTCTTGCTTGGCGATATCATGTATATATGCTTTTAGTTCGATGCAATAAAATGTCAAATACATCTCTTTGGATGGATAATCTTGTGAAGGAAGTTATATTTGAAAAGTAGATGATGAGGGGTGTGTCTAATTTGAAAGTTATATCATTAAGTTTGTATCAAGTCAGACTTGATCAATATTCAATTTTCTAGCCGTACACTACAGGGTATGCTCAAATGTCATATTTCCCATGCATGCGCACTTGCTCCTCTAACAAAAATCAATAAACTCTTAATCCCTTCTTTCATAAAGTTACAGATATTATGTATTTGCTCAATAAATCGTAATGTTTTACTGGCAGGCCGAAGCAACTGTAATTAATCAGTGCACCAAGCTACTTACAACATCAGCTGATCCAACATATGTTGTTACTTACCTTAACCACAGTTTTGCTATGCACCGCATATATCTTTGTGCTGGTGCATGGATACTAATGCATGGGCATCCTGAGAATATCAACAGCGGGAACATGGTAATAATTCTTGTGTTTTATACTTCTGCTACCTCGGTTGTGTTGCAGAAGTCTTCTGCTCTCAATTATTTTAAAACGCTACTCTCATCCTCAATTGCTTTAGGGACGTGCATTGAGAGAGTTTTCTCCTGAAGAGGTTACCCTCAATATATACACGATGGTTGATGTTTTGCTTCATCATATTCACTTGGAATTGCAGCGAGGACATCCTTTGCAGGTGTTACTGTTCTTTTGTTCTTTTCTGACTGTTTTCATGCTTAAATATCACTTTTGCCCTCAATACACACACGTTAAAACTGACATGACGTGTTTCACTCATTACTTTTGTACTTCTCGCAGGATCTTATGGTAAAAACAGTTTCCAATCTTTCATATTTTATCTGGACCCATGAGCTGCTTCCTTTGGACATCTTGCTGCTTGCACTTATTGATCGTGATGATGATCCACATGCTTTGCACATTGTGGTATGTGTTCTTTGTCGTGTATATACATTTTACCTATCTATGTTTAATTACATCTTTCTACGCATGCCATTTGTTTCCTGGAAAATGCAAGTTCATGTCATGCATTCATGCTTTGCTGGGGCCATATAGATTCTTTTAAAACGATTAGTGTCACAATGTTATGGTTGTGGATTACAAGAGTTATATGGATGCATTTGTGGGAAAGCTTCAGAAGAACGCAACTGGTGTAGTCTTACACATTAGGCAACAGTTCTTATGTTCGTCCATGAGCATTCATATAACTCTTGTAATTGTTGGTATGAGTAGTAATATTAATTCTTTTAAGCTAATCTTGGATATTACACATTAGGCCAAGCATCAGAGAGTGCTTCAACATTTTTTGTCTATGATCATCATACAAGATTCTTAATTATATTGACTATAAGAAGCGCAGGTTTCCATTTAACTGATGCATGAGCCTCCCGAATTTACTAATTAGCAAAAGCGCTTTCTAGAAAAACATCTATATATCACTTGGCTCGTAGAAAAACTGGCTAACTGCCGCTCACTTGCAACTTTGCAAGCTGCAACAATGAGAGAAAAGTACCTTTCCTTGAATGAAAAGTACCTGTGAAATTGAGTCGGAACGAATGTTTTGAATGTTTCACAGCAGTCTGAACATCAAGTTCACGACCTGGCCATAGACTCTGCTGGATTTTTCTTTAGAAAAAACCACTTATCATCTCCTCAACCATGATCATCTCCCCTATTGCATATCACCTTTTTCATGAAATAATGCATGTGACAAGTTTTTAGGAACAGAAAAAGTCTAACCAGGAGCCAAATGCACAAGATGAGGCAGAAAAATGAGAATAAAAAACACAACATGCTATAGGATCTACAAACCCACATGTACCTTTACAATTTACATAGATCAAGGGAAGGTCAAGAGTAAGACCAGTTGACGACATTATAGGAGGTGGAGGGACAATAGTATGAGCGTCAACAAGCTTAGGCTGCCAGGAGTAGGTGGAGTAGGTGAATGCCACAGTAGAATATTGTGTGACAATATAGGTAAATAACATCCTCAGCACTGTAGCATTTTTGAATAGATAGGCTCACTATAGAATGAGCATATCTTACAAGCACACTTGAGAGACCTATGGTCAGTTTTATATGCTCATGGATGAACATATATGCAAACATTTACATTGTAAGATTGGAGATATGTTGTATTTCCAACATAAGACCAGATAGACTGGAATGTTGATGTGAAGCATCATAGCTTGATAATGTGAAAGAGAGATTAAAAAAAGAATATAATTTCAATGTGCTCTCCCCCGAAGTTTGAGTATATGGAGTGCAAGTTTGGTGGAGGCAGAAGTAGTAGTAACAGTGGGATTACCCTTGATGGCAAGGAGATACCGGTGTGTGATATGTTCCGTTACTTGGGCTCTATAATTCAGAAAGATGATGCATTAGATGGAGATGTATCCCATAGAATCAGAGCAGGGTGGATGAAGTGGAAGAGTGCATCAGGATTTCTATGTGATCGAGGTATGCCAACTAGTCTGAAGGGTAAATTTTATCGGATGACAGTTAGACCTGCACTAATGTATGACGTAGAGTGTTGGACGATGAAACAATGTCACATTCAAAAGATGAGTGTGACAGAGATGCGTATGTTACGTTGGATATGTGGACATAACAGAAAAGACTGCTTGAGGAATGAGATAATTAGATAAATAGAAAATGCTCAATATAGGACTAAAACATACACAAAATTCAAAAATAGGACTAAGTATATTTTATTCCCTAAATAGGACTTATTTGGTCCTATTAAAAGAATAATTTTATTAAAACTTCCCAAAATAAAAGTGAATGATAAAGGAATATACGAAAGAAGGAGTTTTTCACAACTGAATTGGATGATTATTCCATTAGTCTATAGTGGTATTTATACATACAGAGAGCTATTCTATAAGGAAATATTCTAATATAATTACTCTAATAAATACAAATATATTTGCCCTTAATTAGAATAGTAACGGTAGAAAATATCTTATTTTCTTTGGGAAGGATCCTGAGATTTGTTTCCTTCTATACGCCCCCTCAAGCCAGGTATTCGGTCACTCCCAAGAATCCTGAGCTTGTCTTTGAGAAGAGTAAAACGCTGCCGTGGAAGGGGTTTTGTAAAAGCATCAGCCAGGAGCATGAGAAGGAATGTAAAGAACATGGAGAAGTCCCTGTTGAACTCGTTGACGAACAAAATGAAAGTCGATCGCCACGTGTTTCATACGGGAGTGAAAGACTGGATTTGTCGAAGACGTAGTTGCGCCTTTGTTGTCACACAAAAGAACAGGTGGAGATGTTAGTGGATGCCGTAATTCATGAAGAAGAGACTGAATCCATAGTACTTCAGACGCAGCAGTGGACAATGCACGATACTCCGCTTCTGTGGATGATTTAGCAATGGTGCGTTGCTTGATGGATTTCCAAGAAATGAGGGACTCACCAAGGAAAATTGCATAAGCACTAGTAGAAGATCTGTCATCTGGATTGTCTGCCCAGTCTGCATCAGCATAAGCACGAAGAGGAAGAGAGGAGCTGCATGGAATGAAAAGACCATGAGTGGCGGTCCCATGAAGATACCGCGGAAGGCGTTTGAGGAGCTGACAGTGATCGACGGTGGGTTTGTGCATAAACTGAGCAAGTTTATTTATGGCAAAAGCGGCATCGGGTCTGGTAAGGTTCAAATACTGAAGGGAGCCAATGACCTGGCGATAAAGAGTAGCGTCACATAATCCCGAGCTGTCAAATAAGCTCAATGAAACTGATGAAGCTAAGGGTGTGGCCACGGGATTAGCCTCATGCATATTCATGATGTGCAATAGGTCAGTGATGTATTTGTATTGATCAAGAAAGATGTAATCTGGTGTAGGGGTGACTTGGATGCCCAAAAAATAATGTAAGGACCCTAAATCCTTTATAGAGAATTTGTGTGCCAAAGAGGCAATCGTTTGACGAACCAGAGCAGGAGTTGAGCCAGTAACAATAATGTCATCCACATACACTAGAACATAAATGTTAGATGGATGAGATGAGAATATGAATAGACTGGCATCTGATACGGACTGCTGAAAACCCAGAGAGAGGAGAAAGCCACCGAGAGATTGATACCACACACGAGGTGCCTGTTTGAGACCATAAATTGATTTGCGATGACGGCACACACAGATGGACCCATCATTGAAACCAAGGGGTTGCTTCATGTAGACTTCTTCCTGAAGAGAGCTATGTAAGAAGGCATTGTTGACATCCAATTGATGAACATGCCAGCCATGAAACAAAGCAATGGTTAAAACTACTCGAATGATGACAGGTTTGATCACCGGACTAAAGGTGTCAAAATAATCAATCCCCGGGCGTTGATGAAACCTTTTAGCCACCAATCGGGCTTTGTACCGATCCAGAGAACCATCTGCTTTATATTTTACAGTGTATACCCATTTGCAACCCACAATATTTTGGTCAGAAGTGAGATCCCAAGTACCTTGTTGAACCAAGGCATCAAATTCCACTGACATAGCTTCTTGCCATTCCGGTACTTGGGAAGCACAAGTGGGGATATCCAAGGTTGTCAAAGGCGTAAAGCGCACCTGAAGCGCTAGGAGTCTTCCAGCGCTTGAGGCGCAAAGCGCCTATAGGGCTTCCGCGCTTCGTGCGCTTCTAGCGCTTATGCTGCGCCTTGCCCAGGCTTCCGCGCTTCTTCCTTACTCAGGCGCTAGGGGTCTGCCTCGCTGCGCTTTGTGCGCTTAAGCGCAGAAGCGAGCGCTTTTGACAACACTGGGGATATCATGATGATGTAAAGAAGATTGGGTAATAATGTTAGCTTGTTTACGAGGTCTAAGAGTCATTGGATGAGTCCGTTTGAGTGGTGAATCAATGTGTGGTAAGGAAGGGGAGGTGAGAGGTGGTGTAGTGGGGGTGGGGGTGGTATGGGTAACAGGCTGTTTGTTAAGAGATGATGTACTAGGAGGTTGGTTTTTGGATTGACGTTGGTAGGTGATAATAGTAGGAGGGTTAGGCTTAGGAGAGGGTGGTGGGATGGGGATACGAGAGAGAGGAAGAGTATTGAGTGACTCACCGGGAGAAGCTTGTTGATTCAGGGTATGAATAACAGGAGACACTCCGTTACCATAGTACCTGAAGTAGGAAGAAGGGAAATAGGTGGCTGAAGCCAAATGTCAATGTCTGAGGATAAGTTGGTAACTCGTTGGATGTTGTTAGAGAAAGGGAAGACTGACTCATCAAACACAACATGCCGGCTAATGAAGATACGGTTAGTGACTGATCGAGGCAACGGTAAGCACTTTGTTGGTCACAATAACCTAAGAAAACACATGATTTAGAGCTAGGCTCTAACTTATGTGCTGTGTAAGGTCGTAGCCAAGGGAAACACTGACATCCAAAGATGGCAAGTTTGGTACAACTAGGAGGACGATGAAAGAGTTTTTATAAGGGGTGCAAAAATTTAGAGATGCTGCAGGTTGTCTATTGATTAGATAAACTGCAGTAAGAAAGGCATAAGACCAATACTTAAGCGGCATGGAGGCATGGTGGAGCAAGGTGATCCCCGTTTCCACAATATGCCGATGTCGCCGTTCAGCGAAACCATTATGTTCTGGAGTATATGGTGGGGTGAGTAGATGAGAAATACCACACGTGGCAAGATATTTCCCAAGAGTAATGTACTCGCCCCCTCCATCGGAATAAACCGTTTTAATTTGTCTTCGGAAAAGGTTTCCACATTTTTTTTAATTTTTGAAAAACTGAAGTAACTTCTGATGTATGAGTGAGAGTATAAAACCAAATATATTTGGTAAAGCCATCAATGGAATTAATGTGAGAAAGACCCCAAACATCTGTATAAATGAGATCAAGGGGGCTCGTGCTAGAAAGAGAAGACTTTGCAAAGGGTAATTTATGACTAATAGAAAGAGAGAATATTAAGATGAGCT